CCCACCCCGCGACCCACCCGCTACCCACCCGCGACCCACCCCGCGACCCACCCCGAGACCCCCCCGGCGACCCACCCGCGACCTACCGGCGACCCACCCGCGACGTACCCGCGACCCATCCCGCGACCCACCCGCGACCCACCCGCGACCCACCCGCGACCCACCGCGACGTACCCGCGATCCACCCGCGACCCACCCCGAGACCACCCGAAATTTCCGGCGCCTCTGGCGGGCTTCTGTTGCATTCGTTCCAGGTGGAGAACCTGCGACCCACCCGCGACCCAAACCGCGTTCAGTGTACAAATCAGAATTTTCGGCGCCTGCGGCGGGCTGTTTTTGAATTCCTCCCAGGTGGAGGTGGAGAGCCCGCGGCCCACCCGCGGCCCAAACTACGTTCACTGAACAAGCCAAAAATTCGACGCCTGCGGCGGGCTGTTTTTGCATGCGCTGAACTTGTCAGAGCACGCACTTCGGCGCCTGCGGCGGGCTTGCTCGCATTGGTGTGGGAAAGCGCCCTCGTGCCATTCCCCCGATCCGGCCCACGTTGACTCTACAACAGCACATCGGCACCTGCGGCGGGGCTGTCTGAATTCGTTCATTGATAATCCAGCTGCCTGCTGCAATTCGGCATCCCTGCCCAAAGCCTGGGTTTAGGGGAAGCTGCCTCAAGGCGCCCATAATTAAGGGGCCTCGGGGCGCTCAAGGACCCTCCTGAGGGGGGCGTCCACAAACCCTACCACACAGCACACCAGTGCCGCACAAGCGCGGCGGCGGATTTTGCATGCCGTCTGAGCCCCCCAAGACCTCTTCAAGTTCCGCTCATCCAAGCTCTTGAAGGAGGAGAAGGAGGAGGAATAGGAGGAAGAGGAGGAGGAGGTGGAGGATGAGGAGGCGGACGACGACGACGACGACGACGATGAGGAGGAGGACGAGGACGCGGACGAGGAGGAGGAGGAGGAGGAAGAGGAGGAGGAGGAGCAGGAGGAGGAGGAGGAGGAGGGCGCCATCGACAGGGAAGGTGAGGTCCGCGGGCTCGACGCCCGCGTCGCCCGCGCCCGCTCCCTCACTCTTACCCGCAATTGCGGGGTGCTGCGTAAAAAAAACAACGCAACTCAATGACTCGGGCCTCTAGGCGGGCTCTTCCGGGACGTCCCTCGGAGCTCTCTTTGGGCCTCTTGGATACCCCCCGGGCTGGAATCGTCGAGGGAGTGGGCCCGCTGCCCCGAGCGAGGCCCTCCTCCTCTTCGGCGGGCTCTCGCTGCTGGCCCCCGGCCGCCCTGGCGCGGCGGGGGCCCTGGCGGCGGCCGCGGCGGCCGGCCTCGCCCTGCCGCTGCGCGCCGGGTGCCGCCCGGCGGCGGCGCGCGCGGGCGGCGGGTCGGAGGGGCTGTTGGCGCCCGCCTCGTGAGCGCTTGGGCATCGAGAGGTGGTGATGCTGGTGGTGCTGGTGGTGGTGGCGGTGACGATGGTGGTGCTGCTGATGTGAGGCTGATGCTGGTGGCGGTGGTGGTAATGGTGATGGTGGCGATGCTGGCGATCCTGGTGATGGTGCTGATGGTGACGCTGGTGCTGCCGATGATGCTCATGGTGATGCTGATTCTGCTGATGCTGATTCTGGTGATGCTGGTGCTGATGATGCTGATGGTGATGCTGGTGATGGTGCTGCTGATACTGCTGATGATGATGTTGATGACGATGCTGCTGATGATGCTGATGATGCTGGTCATGTTGATGGTGATGCTGATGATGTTGACGGCAATGCTGGTGATGCTGATGTTGAGGATGATAGGTCTACTCGGTCTACGCAGTCGCTTCAGCGCGCCGCTCTGGTAGCGCACCCATTAGATGCCATGTTCGAGCCGATGCACCTGCGCCCGTCTTCTTGGGCTTGTGTGCGCTCGAGTTTGAACCCAAGCTCGGCCACCCTCTCTAACCACGATGTGCCACGACGCCGCCCTGCTACCTTGCTGGGTCCCCGAGCCTCCTCGCTCTTCTTCCTCCTCCCGGCTCCCTCCTCCTCGATCCTCCTCCTCCTCTTGATCCTCCTCCTCCTCCTCCTCCTCCGCCTCCGCCTCCTCCTGCTGCTCAGATGATGGCGAACCCACCCACTTCGAAGACGTCCAAGAACCACCTGAAACCCGTCTGGTCTCAAGGGGCCCTTCGCCTCCCCGCCCGCCCGCCCGCCCGCCGTCGCGGTCGCCGTCGTCGCTGTCGTCGTCGTCGGCGGCGGCGGCGTCGTCGTCGGCATCGGCACCGTCGCTGTCGTCGTCGTCGTCGGCGGCGGCGGCGTCGTCGGCATCGGCACCGTCGTCGGCGTCGTCGGCGTCGGCCTCGGCGTCGGCGTCGGCGTCGGCGTCGCCGGATGGGCCCCACCTCTGCGAGGCGATCCGCGGAGCGAAGAACTGAGTCAGGACTCTCACGCTCAGACTTTCAACAGCAGCGCCACCTGTCCCCTCGGCATTGAGCATCTTCAAAAGCGGCCGCCAACGACTGCCAACAGTCGGACTGCCAGATCCGAGCCGCCTCGGCTTGCGTCTCGCCCGGACGAGGCTGTCTTCGAACCGCGTTGTACTCACCTCCTCCCCCTCGCACTCTCTCTCTCTCTCTCACTCCGCTCCTCCACCTAACGGCCGCTCTTGAAACAAAGAAGAAAGGGAAAGAGAGAGAGAGAGAGAGCGAGACAAAGAGAGAGAGAGAGAGAGCAAAGAGAGAGGAAAGAGAACACAGGGAATGGGAACGGGAGCGGGAACGGGGAGGAAGGTCACATCTGAACTGGCCTTTCGCTCCGGCCGAGTTGTCAGTAAGGTGCTCTGGTGGCCTTCCGTGGATCGCTCCTCTTGGCCAGCCGTGCTGGTGGTGATGCTGATGCTGATGATGCTGATGATGATTATGGTGGTCATGGTGACGATGATGGTGATGATGATGATGATGGTGATGATGTTGATGCTGATGGTGATGCTGATGGTGATGATTGTGATTATGATGATGCTGGTGCTGATGCTGGTGACGATGATGATGGTGATGCTGGTAATGATGATAGTGATGATGATATTGATGATGCTGATGATGATGCTGAGGGTGATGCTGATGGTGGTGATGACGTTGATGATGATGATGATGATTATGATGATGATGATGATGATGCTGGTGATGATGATGATGTTGATGCTGATGCTGATGCTGATGGTGGTGATGATGATGCTGATGGTGATGATGCTGATGTTGATGTTGATGCTGATGCTGGTGATGATGATGATGCTGATGAGGAGAATGGCGATGCTGATGCTGATGCGGTCGGTCATGCTGAGGGTGATGATGCCGGTAATGGTGGTGACGAAGATGCTTATGACGATGCAGATGATGTTGACGAGGATGCTGGTGATGCTGATGATGCTGGTGATGCTGATGGTGCTGACGGTGATGATGATGATGATAATGATGATGATAATGATGATGATGATGATGATGATGATGATAATGTTAATGCTGATGATGATGATGATGAGATTGTGCTGATGCTGATGGTGATGATGCTGATGGCGATGACGATGCTGATAGTGATGATGGTAGTGCTGATGATGGTAATGATGATGGGGATGCTGATGATGATGCTGGTGATGAAGCTGATGCTGATGATGGTGATGATGGTGATGATGATGCTGGTAATAACAATGCTGATGGTGATGATTTTGATGATGATCATGATGATGCTGATGATGATGCTGGTGATGGTGATGATGGCGATGCTGGTGACCCTGATGATGCTGATGAAGATGGTAATGGTGATGATGGTGATGTTGATGATGATGCTGATAATCCTGATGAGGATGTTTATGCTGGTGCTGCCGGTGGTGATGATGCTGATGCTGATGCTGGTGGTCATGGTGACGATGATGTTGTCGATAATAATGATGATGATGATGATGGTGATGATGCTGATGGCGATGACGATGCTGATAGTGATGATGGTAGTGCTGATGATGGTAATGATGATGGGGATGCTGATGATGATGCTGGTGATGAAGCTGATGCTGATGATGGTGATGATGGTGATGATGATGCTGGTAATAACAATGCTGATGGTGATGATTTTGATGATGATCATGATGATGCTGATGATGATGCTGGTGATGGTGATGATGGCGATGCTGGTGACCCTGATGATGCTGATGAAGATGGTAATGGTGATGATGGTGATGTTGATGATGATGCTGATAATCCTGATGAGGATGTTTATGCTGGTGCTGCCGGTGGTGATGATGCTGATGCTGATGCTGGTGGTCATGGTGACGATGATGCTGTCGATAATAATGATGATGATGATGATGATGATGATGATGATGATGATGATGATGATGATGATGATGATGATGACGATGATGATGATGCTGATGCTGATGCTGATGGTGATGCTGATGCTGATGCTGATGCTGATGCTGATGCTGATGCTGATGACGATGCTGATGACGCTTACGATGATAATGGTCACGTTGATGGTGATGTCTGTGCTGTTGGTGATGTGTATGCTGATGACGATGGTGATGGTGATGATTGTGACGGTGACGATGATTATAATGATGATAATGATGCTGATGGTGAGCCGTTCGAGACATCAGCATACCAGAGGGCCATCGCCAACCACCTGGCCGAAAAGAGGAACGACCTGATCAACAGCCAGGACGCATCACCGCTTGCAGGCTCAAGGGCCCAGCCCACTCGACCAGGCCCAGCCCACCAGGACCGACCCCTCCGACTACGCACGGGCCCCACTCGACAGCGCCGCACCTGGCACCTGCCACAACAGCCCCACTCCACAGCACCGCACCCGGCACCTGCCACAACCGGCGCCGCACTCCATCGGGGGACGGACCACAATTTTGGGCTGTGGGGTGCGAGACAGCTTGTGGGCACCTTGCTCAGGGATGGGAGGTTTCGCGAATCACACCGTGCCAGTAGCTGTGGCTGCCATGGTCCACGCCTCCCGCTGTCCCCTCGCTGTGCCTGGTTTGGGGGTGCTCGAGACCACTGCCCTGGCATGGAGAGAGCACGCGACGCCACTGGCTCGATCTGCGAGAATCACGACCAACAAAAAAAACGAGACAAGAGCCCCCCACCACCAGGGCTCCCAGCCCTTAGTGGGCCCTGGAAGCGACAGGGCCGTTTTTTTTTCGGTTCCGTTTTGCCGTTTTTTTGCCGGTTCCGACGCCGTTTTTTTACCCGTTCCGTCGCCGTTCTTTTACGGGCTCACGCTCCGGTTCCAATGCTGTAGCCGTTTTTGTTGCCGTTTCCAGTCGCCGTTTTCTTGCCGTTACCATTTGCAAGGGACACTTTTTCGGAAACGGTGAAAAAAACGGCCCTGCCGTTTCCGGGGCCCACAAATGGAGGATGACGATTAATAAATGACCAGGGTCGTGTTCACGCGGCGGCGCCCGGGATGACGATTAGAGAAAACCGGCCGCGGGCTGGAAAACTATTTCTTTATCGTTCTCTTCCAGACGGAAAATGGTTCAGAAATAGCAGGAAACTATTTGTTTAATCGTTCTCTCCCCTTTTTTTTATAAATCGTCGTCCCGCATTAAGTCCCAGCCATACGTAGCAGCTACCACGTGCTGCCAGAAGCCGACGTCTTCCTCCGGGGGATGCTCCTCCCGAGGGGCTCGAGACCGGGCCGCGAGCACCTCCGCGGTACGGCAGGCGCGTGCACGCCTCCCCGACATCGCCACCGGAAGGCATCGTTCCGCTGCGCCCGCTTGCAGCATCCCGCATCATCATCACTAGGGGGAGAAAAAGTGGCATACAGTCGGGGCGTTGACCTAAGGAACCCTAAATAAGGAACGGGGCCCTCTTCTCCCATACGTTGAGCTTCGATTTCCCATGGGAAACCTCAGGAAAACTGAGGGCAAACTGCAGAACAATCAAGGAACGCCGAGCCCCTCTCCAACGAAAAGGGTTCCTTCTTCAGGGCCCCGACTGTAAACATAAAAACTCGGAGGTCCGCGCGGATGTCTCGGAGCGGCGCTGGACCCCCCAGGGGCGGCGCCCGAGGCGCCGCATGGGGGCCCCAGCGCCGATCCGAGAAATCCGCGCGGACCTCCGAGTTTGTTCCCCTCATCACCGAGAGCAGCAAAATCAACAGCCAGGATGCCATCCACACGGCACCAGGTACCCCGTCGTTCGCTCCGACATCCAAGTGGTCACGGGCACCAGCGCAGCGGAGTACTGCCACGGTTGTGCCAATGTAGACTACGCCAAGAAGAAGCGCGACGCTACAACCACAGGCAGCGATAGCCGCGCAGGCCTGCTGTAAACCCAGCCAGGCGAGAACGAGGGCACGGCCGACAAAGCGGAAGGCCCACGCCTGGCCTGGCTTGCACTGGCCCGCCCAGCTCGGCCTATATCCGCCCACTCTCCTGCGAGAAGTCGGGCACCCCCCCAGATCTCTCACAGGAATGGCAGACGAGGCGCACGCCACCCTCATGCCAGGACGGGACCTGCCCAACGGAGGCCCATCGGCGCGTCACTCTTATCTTGAAGTTCACAACTTTTGCCCCAACGGCGGCAGACGATCGAGCCCTCCTACGACGAAGATGGACACTGCCAGCTGCTCCTTCCCATCTCCGACCTCGGCATTGTTCATGTATCACACCGCCACACTCATTGTCCTTGCAGCAGCAGGAGCAGCAGTAGCAGCAGCAGCAGCAGCAGCAGCAGCAGCAGCAGCAGCAGCAGCAGCTGGGCATCCATTGCAGCGTCCAACCGGCGACGGTAGCAGTTGCCACCTCCCTCACCAGCACACGCGACGGCACTCACGTCATGATCTGCACCACGGCGGGGACTTCATCGGCACGCTATGCTACGCAGTGGGTCTTTTGCCGACCTTCCTTCCCTCCTGGCTCCTCCTCCTCCTCCTCCTCCTCCTCCTCCTCTTCCTCCTCCTCCTCCTCCTCTTCCTCCTCCTCCTCCTTCTCCTCCTCCTCCTCCTCCGCCTCCTCCGCCTCCTCCGCTCCTCCGCCTCCTCCTCCTCCTCCTCCTCCTCCTCCTTCTCCTCCTCCTCCTCCTCCCCTCGCTCTTTTCTCCTCCTCCTCCTCCTCCTTCTCCTCCTCCTCCCTCCTCCCCCTCCTCCTCCTCCTCCTCCTCCTCCTCCTCCTCCTCCTCGCCTCCCTCCTCCTCCTCCTCCCTACTCCCCCTCCTCCTCCTCCTCCTCCTCCTCTCCTCCTCCTCCTCCTCCTCTCCTCTTCCTGCTTTTTCTCGCCTCCTCCTCCTCCTCACTCCCTCTCCTCCTCCTCCTCCTCCCTCCCTCCTCCTCCTCCTTCCTCCCTCCTCCTCCCTTCCTCCTCCCTCCTCCTCCCTCCTCCTCCCTCCTCCTCCTCCTGTTCCCTCCTCCTCCTCCTCATCCTCCTCCTCCTCCTCCTCCTCTTCCTTCCTCCTCCTCCTTCCCCGCTCCTTCCTCCTCCTCCGCCTCCTTCCTCCTCCTCCTCCTCCTCCTCCTCCTCCTCCTCCTTCCTCCTCCCTTTCCCCTCCGCCCTCTCCCTCCTCCTCCGCCCCTCCTCCTCCTCCTCCTCCTCCTCCTCCTCCCCTCCTCCGCCTCCTCCTCCTCCTCCTCCTCCTCCTCCTCCTCCTCCTCCTCCTCCTC